AAACTTTGGAGGGGGGGGGGGTTCCCTCTCCTTCTCTTTACTGACCTATAATTTGCCCCCGTACCCCCAACCGGGATGCATAATAATTGGCTGGAGGAACAATTGGCAGGGGTCTGGGGATTGCAGGAGGGCCCTGGATAAAGAAAATTTACAATTGAAGAGCTAAGATTTGGCCTTTCTGATTCTAAAATAAATTTTAAAAATTAGACTCACAGACCAAGGAAAGCCCCTTTTGAAAACGTACTTTAACTAGGCATAAATTGGAAAAAGGAAAAGTAGGCCTATACTTAGTAGATAAAAGCTTCTCTTGGGGACAAAACCAGAATTCGCATACTTCATCACTACATAAGAAATTAAAAAGCAACAAATTATAATTATGGGGAAAATTGTTGGTCAGTCGGGAGAAGGAGAAGAAAAGAACAAAACAAAGTAATAAATTTGGGACCGGGATTCGAACCCACACTCATACACTTCAAGCGCGGACACGCTGACTATTGGGCTATCAGAACATCCAACGACCAGAGGTAAATTAAGCTTAATATATATACAGCACTGTTTTAGAAAAGGCAACAACATAGATCAAGATGAAGACATCTAGTTTTTTTACTTCTACAACAAAGAAAATGAGAATGTCGGAAACATGGGGATGGGGATATCAATGAGGCGGCGGGCTTGGGATCGGCAGATGAGGTCTGGAGGAAACTCCCCAAAAAATGGCGGACAATTGGAAGCACTGAACGTTAGAGAACGTAGACAGCTTGTATACGTTCTCTAACGTTAGAGAACGTGGACACTTCCTATATATGAATGATTTTACAGTCGTTTCTGCTCAGCCACCTGTTAAAGACAGTCACCTGAATAATCGACCACTTCCCACCCAACCCCTAGTGCTTGTGTCGGGGTTTGCTGATCCCAATGCATGCACTAGACCAGACCAGACCATAAATGATTTATTTATAGAGGCACCAGCCATCCATGTCCAGGTGCTGTTTTAGCCTCTTTTTCCTGTATTCGGATTAATAATATCTTTTTGCCAATTTATTGGTTCCGCTTCTATGTACCCCATATCTATGGTTCTCAACCTGGAAATCGCCTATAATTCACTGTAATTGTCTCCCCTCCCCCCACTCCCTCTCATCACCCCCCCCCTCCTCATATTGTCAACATTTATGTTACCGTATATTTTTATCGATAACACATTTATGGATTAAGGGCAGTATTAATGATAATTAAGAACCCCCCCATCAATTAAATAATAAATAAATAAATAAATAAATGATGCTAATGATTATCATAGTACAATATTGATAATGAGAAGTAGAAGAAGAAGAAGAAGAAGAAGAAGAAGAAGAAGAAGAAGAAGAAGAAGAAGAAACACGGCCATAACATCAATATAAAAAACAATAATGCTAACAATAGAATTCATTTGAGTAAAATAATGAAATAATAATAAAAAAAAAAAATGGAGCAATATTATTATAAATCAAAATTTCGAAAAGGACACTACTTGGAATCCGCCGATTGTATGGGATCAGATACCTTGTATGAATACGTTAAATTAGGTAATTCAATCCATACAATTTGAGGTTATATGTTCAGATCACCATTCTTTTTTTTTCAAGAGGAAAGCAGATGTCTATTCTCATCTTGTGTTTGGTCATTCTATTGAGTTACATCTATAAGACCAATCTCCTCGTGGTTTAAGGAGTGGAAATATGATGTATAAACTCAACTATTGCATTTTTGTTCTAGATGCACTAGATGTAGTTTTTGTTGTTCGCATAGCCTATGGTGTAAAAGCGGGCCTTGTTAGAGAGCACAGCCATTGGATCTTGAATAAGCTGGTGGAGGAACCTGCGACAAATGTCCACCCTTGCACTTAAGAGAGAGAAAGAGTGAGAATGAGAGAAAGAGTGAGAATGAGCGTGAGAATGAAAGAGAGAAAAAGAGAGAGAATGGGAGAGGGAAAAAAAAGAGAGAGAGAGAGAGAGAGAGAGAGAGAGAAAGAGAGAGAGAGAGAGAGAGGGAGAGGGAGAGGGAGAGAGAGAGAGAGAGAGAGAGAGGGAGAGAGAGAGAGAGAGAGAGAGAGAGAGAGAGAGAGAGAGAGAGAGAGAGATGGCAAGGCATATAATTTCATGTATTGGGAAAAATAAAAAGCATAATTGGCACCATGTGACAAAGTACTCTTAGAGAGAAAACGCAAAGAGTTATACTCTCAATAGTTTAGGAACACTGGCATTATTTCGAGGCGTTTAGTTTCTAAAGGTGCTTTGCACCAGAGGGCTGTGAAAATATTTCTTCAATAAATCAACACATGTTTTGCTTTTTCAGTACCTTCATGACATCTCATTAGGCACACCCTGCAACCGATTTTATTTGTCGTTAATAGACCACCAAGAAAAACTTTACGTAGGCTTCTCTATAAAACCTGAGCGAATCAGATATCCACTTCACATTGCAGATTGGCCTGGGCTTGATCTATTATACCTTCTAAGAATCCGCGGAGTCATAGTAAGGTAATATGGACCATATCATTTAATTTATGTCTTTGTTGTTGTACACGCCTGTCCACTATGAAGACGACGTCGTTGATCGGGAGGAAGCTGACTGATAGAATCCTGACAAAAGATGATTCTGTTGGTCTTGACGTTTCAACTGCTGATGCCGGCGGCGCAGGTGTTGTTGCTCTTTTAATCGTCGTTGCTCTCGTTGTTATTTTATAGTCATTTTTTCTTGTAGATGGTACTTTTTGATTACTTTTGTTATTTCTCCTTTCGATGTTGCAGTTGTTATCTTTGTATTTTTTTGAGTTGTTGTTTGTTTGTTTTTCCTAACGCTAAAATTACTTTAAACAGCGAGTGATAACAAAGGTCTCTTACGTCTCCTCATCATTTGAGGAGTTTTAAAAAAGTCCAAAAATGTCGGCGGTGACATGTACTACTCTACTACATACTACTCCTCCAATTCTGTTACTAAATAGAGAATGTTTCTAACATACGATAGTAGAAACAGAGGTTTTTCAAAAGAACTTCGATTTAGTCAACAAAACAAAACTCTTTAATCAGCGCCGGTAGAAACATAATACTTGATATAAGTGAGTCGATTTTAGATGGTAGGTCCTTTAGAGAGGACAACCCTTAGTAGTGTACTGTTTTTGATGGGGACAGAGATGACGATGAGCACGGTAACCATTCCGACGATAAAAAGACGATGATGGTTATAACGACGATGAGTTAGTTTAAGGTCCTCCTTGATAGAGAAACAGCCTACTAAAAGCCCCCCCCCCTTTTTCTTCCCATCCTTGTCTTGCTTGAAATATAATTCCATGCTCTTGCTCTTAAAGTTAAAGGAGGCACATACATGACGATAAAACAAATAAGATTATACTCTATAATTGTGGCAACGATGCTACTTTAAAAGTTATCACTGACAAGATATCTCTGGCTGTCCGGCGTCTTCTTCCACCCTCGTTACTTTTCCTTGTTTTTGTAATACAAGAATTAACAAGATCAGTTTTTCTTTGTCTTCAGCACAATGTCGCGAGGTATCGCTCATGCCATGAACCTTGCCCTACTCCTCACTGTGCTGCTGGTGGTGTCGGTGGCCGCTGGAGAGAGCGATGCGTCTAGTTCGAGTCCCCAACCTTGCTGTTTCCCTAATCAATTCACGAGCAAAAGCTTGAACGTCCAGTATAGACGATGGGCGACTGTGACCTACGACTACACCAACCAAAGGAAGATGGTTCAGTTTGTAGACAGTGATGAGTTCTACCATTTTGATTTGAGCGCCCATGTTACTTCCTACGGCCATACCAATGGGCAATGCAAGAACTACACAACCATTGGATATACGCTTACAGATCGCTGCATTCCCGACGATGCTCAATTTGACCAGGACGCAGGTTCCCTCATAGGACCAAGCTTGGGCGTCAACTCGTTTAGACTCAACTCGGAAAGCCAAACTGGAATTGTGACGGTGTCTCAGGACAACTGCTACCCGATCGCTTATTCCCTGACCGACCCGACAGCCGGAGAGAACCTGTACGTCCTCATCACAGAAATCAAGGAAGAAATTGACCCCTCGGTTTTTGACGTCGACCTATCTAAGTGCGTCTGTTCTTAAACACAATACAGAATGATCGGTTGTTGTAATGGTGCAATTTGTTTTTTGTTTTTGTTTGTTTTGGCGGTTTTTTCTTTCAAACACGGACTTTTCCCCTCAAACCGCAAAAGGTTTTTTTCCAAACCACAAACATTTTAAAATTCATTTGAAGGATAAATACAAAGGAAAAAACCCAACAATTGTACATCCCTGTTTTGTTTGTTTCTTCTATGTGAGAAGCGTTGTCTAGTAACAACAAGAAATATATGTATTTACTTTGGCATTTGCAAGTTTTGGAAATTCTCTTTGTTGAGTCCTTGTGTCTGTCTCCGTACTCTTCTCCGTCTATTTTTTTGGGATCATCTAAACTAAACAGGAGAAAAGAAGAATTGTTGTAAACCGATGTAAGCTATCACACAAACATTATAGTGTGGTCCAAAATTCGTGGCGCGACTTATTGTCAAAATATATCTCCTCAACTACGGAACATAAAGTCTCCAGCTTTTGCACAGCGACTTGTATCAATTTGTCTTAACAGATCAGTATTTTTGTAAAGACGTGTTAGCTCTATTTTAGAAAATTTCTTAATAAATAATTTTTAAAAATCCTAGTGGGTGTTTTTTCTGATTTTGAAAGGTTTACAGCTGGGACGATATCGCTTTTAATAGCAAGTCCGTCATTGTTTTCTAATCGCGAAATTATCTTTATTGAACGCATGTTTTGAGAACTTTTAGTGCAAAAAAGTGTTCACTATAAAATTAATTTCTTTTAACTAGTTTTGCCACTAAAAAGTGCCACTGGTGAGCTGTATGCTAAATGTGTGTCAGAAGCGGGAAGTGCTGAGAACAATTATATTTTCCGCCTGAAGGAGGTTTCTAGTATTTTATATAAATTTATGAAGAAAACTTTAAAAATCTAGCCTTAATTGTGGTGGAAAAATATAATTAAGTTACGACAAATTGAGACAAACTGCTGTGCAAAGTATGGGTGGCATTGATTTACCCGTTATAAAGATATTTGAGGATGAGGTGCGCCACGAATTTTAGACCGCACAAAAGGACATACGTGTGTGTTTTATTCCAGCATTATTATGTATATAGGCCTTGCATAATCTACAAGTGTGCACTGATTCACCCCACACAAGAGGAAAATAAAGTATAAGCAGCAATATGTAATTACAAAGCAAAGCCAAAATAAAATAGGACAAACAAAAAACAAAACAAAACAAACAAAACAAACAAAGCAAAGCAAAGCTAAAACGAAACATGAAATGACACTCCTCCCTTTTTTCTCCTCTATAAAATAAACTGACCACCAACAACTTAACAAAAACCATAAATATATTAAACAAACAAACACCTTGGGGAGTTGGGGGTTCGGATGAATTGTAACAGAACCTAAGAAGGTTTTTTTTTTTTTGGGGGGGGGTGTGCATCGACGAAAATAAGAACCATGCTTCATTATTTTTCTAAATGACGCGTAGTAAAAACTTTTCCGTCAGCTCCTTTTCTTGTATCTAGTACGTCGATTAATTCTAGATTTGAATATCAGGATTACGCACACATACACTAACGCACACATGCACACACAATATACAGTCGATTCTACTCAAAGGGCCACCTGTGAAAGACAATCACCTGTATAATAGACCACTTCTCATCTAAGCCCTAATATTTCCGTCGGGGTTTGCTGGTCCCAATACACGTACATGATGTAGTTTTTGTTGTTTGCATAGCTGATGGTGAAAACGTGGGCCTTGCTAGAGCAGCAGAGTCGTTGGATCTTGATTAAATTGGTCGAGGAACCTGCGGCAATAAATATCCACTCTTGCATCTGCGATTGCTTCAGTGAATCGTTGATGAACTTGGGTTTTGAGCGGCTTAAACTCCAAATCATTCTTCAACAATTTGTCTATAGGATTCCCTGGGAATTTCTGCCTCAAGATGACAAAGCTGTATTCACGACTGTGATGCTTATGTTCAGGATTCACGATCTACCCTTTTCTTTAACATTTTAGGATATTAGCACAGGGTCAAAAGGCCATTCCTATAAATGTATGAGGGCAGTTCCAAACGACACTTGGGCCATTTTCTTCACGTCTGCAAGAGCATCAGCATCAAAGAAACAAAATATTAAATAGAATTTGGCGTGCTTCTCTACCTCTAACTTTTCTCTCCCTCTCCCCCTTCTCTCCCTATCTATCTATCTATCTATCTATCTATCTATCTATCTATCTATCTATCTATCTATCTTTTCCTTGACAAGTTTATTCTATTTTAAGTTAAAGCGAAGCACATGGAAACGGTTAATGTCATTGAATGCTGGGGAAAAGCACGACAGACAGAAATACCTGATCCAATCGACCTTTCCCTAGATACAGGTAGAATCATTCAAGAGTCAGGATTCTTCGACTCTGTTCTTCAGTGCCAAACCCGGGCTGAGGGGAATACTACATCCTAACAGGCATACAGAGATGTAACACCTTCCCTAAATGGGAATGATAATCACTTTTTCTACGTCATCATCATCATCATCATCATCATCATCATCATCATCATCATCATCATCATCATTGCCTTCTCACCCTGGAACTGGGTGCCACGAACAAATACTTTCCACCTTTCCCTATCCTGGGCCAGCCCCTTAATATCATTCCATGTTTTTTCACTTTTCTGTACATTGGTTTCTGTGACTCTTCTCCAGGTTCCACATGGTCGTCCCCTTGATTTGTTATCCTGTGGATTCTGATTCAACACTTTTGCTTTTATGCAGCTGCCTGACTTTTATTACATGCAACGGCAAAACATCGAACCTCAATGCCACAGACCTTTCTTCCCTTTGCTTTTCTTCAGCACTATGCTATAGTCATAATTGTTGCGATGGAATTCTGTTTAACTAAGTGTTTAGACGTCGATAACTTAATATTGAGGAAGAAGGAGATGGAGAGGGAAAAGGAGAAGGAGATGGAGAGAGAGAGAGAGAGAGAGAGAGAGAGAGAGAGAGAGAGAGAGAGAGAGAGAGAGAGAGAGAGAGAGAGAGAGAGAGAGAGAGAGAGAGGTAGTACCTCGAAATATTTGCAATTTCATGCATTGCTTAATTGACCTTTTCGCATCACGCCGCACCACGTTGGCGCGCTGTTTTTATATTACCTTGGACCGTACCGCTCCTCTTTGGCGCGCGCTATTTCACAACCTTTCACGACGGGACGCGCCACCCTGGATTCCCCTACTTGCGCATGCTACAAAAAGTTTGCCTTTTCGTTTTTCACTTTCAAACTTTCAAAAAGTATTCAGATACCATTTTGGAATTGTTTCTTGCTGTCAGAAGTTGAGTTGCTTGATTACTTTTCGATTTACCGGCAAATTTCTGAGGTCACTTTCCAGAGCGTTCCCGAGACGTTTTTCATACGATACGCTGAAAGTGAAAGTTGTAGCGCTTAGACCGACGCTGAGAAGACTCACTCTCAAAGGAGTCACGGATTCTATCTACATAGAATGGACCGATGATGAAGATGATTTTGAAATGATGAGGATACTATGCCGGTTGACTATAAAGCATAACCGTTACATTTTTGCCTAAGAAGCAACCAGTAGTGAATCGAGAATGCGTGAGATTAGAATGCATAGACACTGATGATGAGATGATGGACGATAGGACCGGTTGTTGAAATTACGATATGGCGACGGATATGCTGTAGAACTGTAAAGGAGAGTATAGAAAGACAAAATAATGAATAAGAATAAGTGGAGGGATTAAAAGATAAAATAATGTGGGCTCGAAACACAAACAACTTTCTCCGCGCTTCTCAGTTTACTGGTACTTGTAATCGATGGAATCAAAATCTCATAACTCAAACAACCGTTTGCATCAGATATTTACTGGCTGATCATTACAGAGACGTTTATAAACTTTTATAAAACTGAAACAAAACGACAAGGTGGGAAAGGGATCAATTGCAAAGATCTTCAAACCTTGGCAAGTCGTTTATGTTGCAAAACCAAGAAACCAGATAATCTTGTAGAAATGGAATGCTTTTTTGTTATCTATTTTCTTTCCCATGGGCATACTCAAGATACTGACACTCGGCAACCACTGACCTTGAAGCCCATGCTTGCACTCATCTGTCTGCTGAATAATGATGTACACGCAAAGAAAAGGTTTCTTGACAGTTCTCTCTTCTTGTTTCATATGTCAAACAACATAGCACAAGTGGACTACGGAGAGCTTTTTGATGACATAAAAGATAAAGCATTTAATTTATCCCGAATCTACAAGAGAACGTTTTTTTTAAACTTGTGAAAAGCATAACAGGACTTTGTATTGACGAAACCATGGCGCATTTCAAAGGCCGTTCCCGATTCAAGGTTTATAAATCTGAAGGATATACCCACCAATGAAAAATTCAAACTAAGTGAAGTTTGCGAGAGAAAATCAGGGTACTTCTCTGTTCTCTAGTGATGTACTGTGTCAAAAGACGAATCCACGTTTCTCTTTGCAAAAAAAAACAACAAAAAAAAAAACACAACAAAAAATAAAAGAAAGAACCACTGTGGAATGTTTTAGATTTGAAGGCTCGAGGGAAGCGGAACTTTAGCAGGTTTTGGAAGTGTATAAATCAGCCCTGC